GCAATTCCTCCTCTTCCTTCGCCAATACTACTAAGTCGTCTGCATACTTTACAGTCGTTATCACTCTTCCTCCAATTTTGAAGTCTCCTGTTCCCTCCAGAGCTTCCTTGGCAAGCCATTCTAGTCGATTATTAAGGTATTGAAAATTTAAGAAGTTCATTGATTCTGGTAATTATTTTCTTATGGATTGTGACGTCATGTGACTTTGTGGATGATTACAAATAATTCAGAGGAATGTATTCAAACATTGGCAACCACAGACAAGTTGGAGGTGAGTGGTCAGATTCACGCCCCGGCCGTTTTATCCCATAGGAAGCGACCCCTGGTTCTCATTGGGTAGAAGGCTGGGTGGACGTCAGAGCCATTATGGACGCAGACACTACAAGGGAATTCTTTTTATCGTACCCGGAGCCAAACCCGTTCGTGTAGTTCAAGTCAGGATCCATTCTGACTGAGCTACACAACTCATTTTTGACCGTCCTGAGGACCTCGGATACCAGAGTTATCCTTAAAACCACGCAGAGTTCGACGACTAGAATCCCTGCGCTGTAAAGGTGTTATTTTTCTTTTAATTTCCCTCTCGTTTCCAGGTTAGGCAGTTTTAAGGATCCTATAAGTAAAGACACGATTCTTATTGGAATCACAGGTACAACGCAGAGTTAAGAGGGCTGCCATTGTCATGCAGGTTCCATATTAAGCAAGTTTAACTGTGGTGAGAGAATTCTCAGTTCTGCATCTGAATTCTGTGTCTGAGGTTCAAATATTCTCTACGGAAGTTGGGGCCTCATTTACGTGATTCAGATAAATCGTGTGTAGAGGATGTTTAGGCCGTAGACATAATTATTACTTTTCCACATAAGAATCATAATACGGTAATTGACTGATTATATTACGCTGAACTCTCAGAGTTTTCGTTTCGTACGCCAGTTTCTAAGCTTCGTGTCAGAGTACATAAATTTTAGCTTCAAGTTTCACAGGTAACTTTAGAAGAATATTTCTCCTGCCTGTACAAAAATATCCTTAGCAGTATTTTACAGTTTATTGTAACAGTTAGTCGGAAAGCGTTGTTTGAAATTATACAAGAAACACAGACCAACTGGAGATACATTACCGTGTACATTATCAGGATTGTAAACTTGATGGTGCTGGTGTAGTTTTTACGTTTGAAGTTCGCATGGCATCCATGTTGACGTGTTCGATAATAGGGAATTAAAAATATCTGTGTATATTATCGTGCTTGGCCTTAAGTGATATCATGTTCTTTAAAAATTAACAAAGTCATTCGTTTGTTGATCCTAAAGTTATTATTAGGAGACACACACACCCAATGACGAACGGATACATTGCCCGTCTTGCTAAATGAGTCTATTACACCATATTAAATAAGCTAAAGTAGACTGATAAACTGACAGTTGAATTTTACAGATGCTTCTTTTATAAAGAGAGTGAAAGCTGTACGTGATGTGTTATGGTTAGTCCTACGCTGTCTATTTTTCTTTCACAATCACGCGAGATTTACATTATAACATCACGACCTGACAGAAGTTTCAAACTGGTACCAACTTTAGGGCGTCCCCCCAGCAGCTGTTTTGCTTCGGTATGCAAATTGCGTGATGTAATGCCGGAACTGTGTCACGGTATGTGATGATATAGCAGCTTTAGCACAGTAATAACTGTGTAATAATAGTAAATGGAAGAAGATGTAGTATGTTAAAATGATGGACGTCCATCTTCCTCTGTGTCCAAGCACCTCGCCAAGAGCAATTACAAATACAAGCTTGCTTGACTGGACGAGTACGCCATTCGTCCGATGCGAGGAAGACTAAAATTAATTTATGACGGTGGCGACTCTGGTAGCAAGAAATGCGTACGAGGCTTCGGTGGCCTGCCCTGGGGTCAGGCGAATTATTGGTTTTGTGTTGGCGCGTTTGGGAGTTGTCGTCAAGACGTTTCCACAAAAATACAAGTTGGACGCATGTGTCACTCAAAGTTCTTGTTTGAGTTCCCTGACATTGCGTTTTACTAGTTTTTACTCTGAAATTTCCAACATATAAATTTCAATTCATTTGCATTAAATTTTACTGTATCACTTCTTCAGCAGTCTGGATTTCTGAGTGGGTTAAATCTGTTCGTGGGATCTCCGGGGTCTCAGCACGCGGGTTTTGTGATTATAGCCTAATGCTCTACCCACAAAGCACCTGCCTTTCCTTTTATTGAAATAAGCACATGAATTTCAATAACGCTCTCAAAGTGGCGTTAATGGTGCACGTATCGCTTAAAGGTGAGCTGACGCTGTTATAGGGTGAGAGCTAAGTGTGTGTATGTATGGCCGCGTGAGAGGGTGTCACTGATAGCAGGCAGAAGCCACTGCAGAATAATTAATATAGAGAATGAATTTCTAGTTCTCTCCCTCCTCTTACGCAAATTCTAGTCCAAACAATGTTATAAAGTAGGCGAGGTTTGAGGTTATCGCCTCAATGACCATGAAGAATAATGTCTTCTGAGATGTTGTCACTCGCTGTCTGGTATATATTCACCGATCTTTCAGAGGTACTTGCTGCCTCCATCATCAGGACTATGATTGACGATGAAAGCAGCAACACCTCTGAAACGTCGGTAAAACCCCACCAGACTACACGGCGCAATAACCCAGAAGACAGCAGTCGTCATACTCCCCGCCGTAAAAAATGAAATCTTAGATTCCCAGGACTTTTTATTTACATGTTTACGCTCTGTGGAACCATGGCCCAACGTCGGTGTCAGTATATTATGCAGAATATGTAGTGATCCTGTTTAATTAAAGCTGGGTCGGTTGGTACAAATATAATTGAGATAAATACGTTCTATCCAACAGAGGAGAAGCCATTTCATTCTGTCTATTACTTGCTATTAATGCCAGCATATTTATGTCAGTGTAATTAGCACCAGCATTTACTACAGTGATATAGCATATCAAAAAGCTAAAAGCTACCAGTGATTATTTGAATCAGTTCGGCTTCACAAAGTCATGTGTCCCTAATGATACTTTTATGGGCTGCGGAAATAATTGACTCAATATAATATACCATTTTGGATACTGTGCACAAAACCGTACATTTACTCGGGGCTAAATAATTAATGCTCTTTATCAAATATTACTAAGGTAAAATTTTAGGTTCTCACGGCGCCGATTATGAAGATTACTGTCTTCCGGGCTGTTACGCCATGCAGTCTTGTAGACGTTTACCGACGTTTCAGAGGCAACATTCCAGAAGACAGTAATCTTAGTAATTAAGGCAATAAAATCAATAGATGAACAGAGTATGTAGCACGCATGGCTAAGCTGTCAAATGCAAAGTGTTAGCCTGAAGGAATGACCAAGATGACAGAATCTGCCGTGGGTTAAGCAGGTTTAGGTGATAAGAGAAAAGCGTTGCGATGTTTTACTACAGTATTATATCACAGATTTGTCGTTCTATTTTCCGGCAGAATTAACATCTGCAGAGGAACTAATAGCTTCACTCCACAAAATACTTCATGAACTTTGAAAATCATACAAATCAATGCAGAAAATCCTGCGGTAAGCTTAGCAAAGTTTAATCCTCTGCCCCATCACCTCGCCAACCCCCGCTGCTGATGCCTTAGCCGACGATGCAACTAAACCTGACAACTCCACTATACTTCTCTCTGCAGGCAGATCGCGGAACTAGAATTATTTCTCTTCCTTACTGTTAATCTCTGTCTTTCCATGACCGCTTAAACTTCACATCCCCCACCTCCGAAAACTACCCTTGACACAGCTTGGTTGCACATAGATCAAGAAGAAGCAAATTAGGGGATGTGACAAATTACTTATCCTTTAGAGCCAGTGGATGCTGGAGACGAGCCAACTGTCTGCTGGCATGGAGCTAGATCCACGTGGGTATCATTCCTCCACTTCCGTCCGCAGAAGCACTGTGCGTTTTAACTCAGATTTCAACTTGTACGAGGGATCCGAGAATTAAGGAAATGCATTTATCTGCTGCCAGGTGTTTTACTCAGCACAGATAAATATTCTCCCGACTGAAGCCTCGTATAAGGTATTACTAAAAACTGTTACGAGATGACACCGCTCGTCGTTCATTACGTCTGGCAAGTCAGGGATTCAACTAGGTGGGTGTTTCTTATCAACCAACCGGAAGAGGGAGACATTCAGTTTCCGGAACGTTGTGTTATTTCCAGAATAACGGCGAAGTTTAAGTTCCTGGGGTCTCGGGTTCGATTCCCGGCGGTGCCCGAATTTATAACTTGTGTTGGGCAAGGCCGTGGTCTAGGCAACACGGAGTTTTCCTCCGTGGCATCCCAACAATTACTCCATTCACACACAGAAGAAGGCAATGGCAAACCACTTCTGGATCATCTGCCAAGAACGTATATGAACAGGTCCCAGTCCGAGAAAAGGATGGAAGGATCCTGTTCATATGGACCTGTCGTCAGACAGAAAACTAAATAATAATAAAATAAGTCTAGCAGGCCTAATAATAATAGGTATTATCTGATTCAGTATTCGATTTAAGTCAGTGAATTTACGAAAATCAATACCGTCGATAAACTTCTAATCAATCTAAATACAAGCCATCGAAAAGTGACTTAATGTAACAGAGTCCTTAGGAAAGAAGTAATCGCATAACTAGACAGTAGATTTCTTGCCATTTATAAAGCCCGAAGGTTCAGCACCGTCACTGATCCGTATCCTAAGCTATATAAATGTAGTCCACACCCTCAGTGTTTATGTTATCCTTCCATCTATGCCTAGGTCTTTCAAGTGGCATTTGAGCCATTGTAAATTTTGCCGAAATTCTTCCTGTCAAATTGCTACATAGTTGTCAGCTCAGTTAATAACTGAGCGAACATATCTACACAGCAGAAAGACAACACAGATAATCGAAATACACTTTTGTATCGCCGTTCCAAAAGGGAGCCTCTGTGCCTTTTAACCTATTTTCTTGTTGCCTTGTTATTCTGTCCTGTGTTCTGCGCAGATGGTTCCGAGATCAGTTTGGGCAGCTGCGTCCGGTGACGCAGTCAGCGCGTGTGACGCCCTCTCAGGATGTTCTGCATATCCGTCATCTGAGCCCGGAGGACGCTGGCCGATGGGTTTGTCGGGTGTCGAACCAATTTGGCGAGCAACGGCTTGAGACTCAGTTGACAGTAACAGCGCAACTCAGCGCGCATGTCCAGCCACACTTACAGGTATAATAGGCTTTAATAGCGAAACTTATGTCGGGGCGTGATGCTGACCACTCACCCCCATCTAGTGCCGAAGTCAAGGAAGAGAGGAGCTCTACCTCCACTCACCCCAAGCGCCTACATGGCGTGTAGTGGGACAAACTTTACTTCTTTTACGTCTCTAATTGTTTTTCATTGATGTCCAGCATTGTAGTACGAAGCACGAAGAATTGCAGGGTTGGGAAATGCGTATGGGAGGAAGGAGATCAGAAGATAAAGGTACAAACAGACAATAGAAATAAGGAAGCCGTGAGAGTTGAAGATACGAAAGAATAGTTCACGTTAAATTTCAACGGGCTTGTTCTACAGTTTAAAAGAAATGCGAGATGCTGGTGTTTTAGAAGGTGATGTCCTGTTCAGGTTGTGAATTCTGGTGACTCGGCCACTTTCAACTGCTCTGTGACGGGGTCGCCGATCGAGTCGGTGTGGTGGATGCGCAATGCTGAACCAGTCCTGTCCATATCCGACGGGGAGGCCTCCACGGGCTCCCGGGTGCGTCTTCTGTCCCAGCAAGTGCTTCACGTCGGCGGGGTGTCCAGGTCGGACCGCGGCATGTACCAGTGCTTCGTGCGTAACGACAGAGAGAGCGCGCAGGGCAGCGCGGAACTGCGGCTCGGAGGTAATCGCCCGCCTCCTGTGCGTTGCAGTGCGCAGGTTTCGCGTTGATCGGGCGAGGTTAGGTTAAGTTCTTACGGCGTTGAATGCAAATTAATTGATGTCTTCTGGGTTGTAGCGCCGTGTAGACTGGTAGAAGTTTACCAACGTTTCGGAGGTAATTACTGCCTCCATCATCAGCGCTCTGAGGATGAAGGCAGCAAACATTCTGAACGTCCGGTAAGCTTCCACGGCGCTACAACCCAGAAGAGAGCTATCTTCAAACTTGCCGCCGTGAGAACCTGAAATCTCTCTCGGTACAAGTTTCAGTGCAATCAAAGAATATTGACATTTTTTTATTTATGACAAAATCCACAAGTTTGAATGAAGATGGTCCCGTAAAACGTGTATAGACCTACCACCTTCTATTTTCATCTCTGGGGAAACCCTCCCCATTTTAGCTGTAGTTTTGTGTGTGTGTGATTTATGGGTAGCGGAAGTTGAAGCTCATTTCCGGGGTCGACTGTTGCGGTGACTGGTGGGAGTAGGGAGAACTATCGACCCTCCCTACAGTAACAAACCACCAGGGTGTGACGACATGAATAATGCAAGATACGCAATAAAATAGCGACATGAACACCCTCCCACGGGCGATTCGGGAATCTCGCCCTCGTTTGTTGAAAAGTTTGGCGTAGAACATCATAAATAGCTTCACTGTAGAATTTCATTACGGCTATATT